AGTACCTCAGCCTTCTCCATATCCTGGGTGAACAGGTTGCCCGTTTCATTCCAGAGGGGACGCATATTTTCCCTCATCCTCCTTTTATACTAACATACCTATAGAAGCTTTTCTTGTTGTCCTTAACATCCCTGGCCAGATTTATTTCTGTCAGGGCTTTGGCTTTCCTAACCTGCTCCCTGGCTGCTCAGAGAGTTTCTCTGTATTCTTCCCAGGCTACCTGCCCTTGCTTCTACCTTCTGTAGGCTTCCTTTTTTTGTTTGACTTTGCCCAGGAGCTCCTTGTTCATTCATGGGGGCCTCTTGGTGGTTTTGCTTGACTTCCTCTTTGTTGGGATGCATCGCTCCTGAGCTTGGAGGAGGTGACCCTGGAATTGTAGAATACCAGCTTGGAAGGATCCACAAGGATCGTTGGTCCAACCTTTCTTGGCAAAAACTTCATCTAGACAAAAGCACCGTCTAGACAAGATGGCCCAGCACACTGTCCAGCCGAATCTTAAAAGTGTTCAATGTTGAAGAGCCCCCTGGGAAATAGTTTCCTCATTTAGAGCATCTAGTTATTGTCAGTGAAACTTGCAGTGGTTGATGATTATAAATGTCAGGTCACTTGTTTGTGTGTCTAGTTCAGGATATAGATGCCAAAGCCTGGGAAGTTTGACGTTTATGACTGAAGTTAGCGTTCAGTAGTACAAAATTAATATGTACTTAGTGGGATCGCTGCAAACAGTAGAATGTTTAAGTAAATAATTTTACTCTGTTTCACTGTTTAGTGAAAAATTAATTTGAAATTATTATACAATTTTTTTTCTCTGAAATTATTATAACTTTTTTTGCTCTTTTTTAGTTTAACAATAATTGTGTGAAATGAATTGCTGTTTTAAATAACTTCTGGTAGGAGTTCTGTGTGGGACTCATGCAAGTTTTGTTAATTTACAATTAATTATGTTATAGATATTCTGTCTTAAACTTGTTTTTAACAAATCTAGTATTGATTGCTGGTTCTCCTGCTTTTCCTCCCGCTCCCCAGATCCTGTAGTTCAAATTGCCATTGACAACTCTCGAAACATCTTACACACCCGCTCAGAAAAAGGAATGCTGCAAGTAGGTGACTTCTTCTAATATCTGTTGGCTATGTTACTAATGTATATAACTTTTTAAGTTTTCCTCAGTACCTGGGAATTCTCTGTAGGTATGTCAGGATATTATTCTAATTTATCTTTTTGTAACAAAGTGTGCGCTAAAGACTTAAAATACTTTCTTCTGAGGAAAGAGTAGCCTTTTGATCTTCCCCTCAATTATATGGAAACGTGAGGATGAAATAAAAATGGAGTTTGAGTTGCTGCTTGATAGGTGAGGCTATATTAATTAATTCAACTGTAAATCACTAAGCTGTATTATTGAATTGCAGGTTTATGATTTGGGACAAGATGGTCAAGGAATGACCAGGGTTACTTCTCTTTCACAAAATGCTATAGTGTCTGCTGCTGGGAGCATTGCCAGGTATATTTATGACAATTATAACGTAAGAGGCTTTAAGGCTGATAGTTTCATGCTATATTTTTGAAGAATGTTGTTTGCTTAATTTTTGTGGCTTGGGAGTGTATAGGGTTTTTTTGTTTTGTTTTTTAGAACAATAGATCGTTCTGTATTTAAGCCTATTGTTCAAATAGCAGTGATTGAAAGTTCTGAATCCATAGACTGTCAACTACTAGCAATCACACATGCAGGTAAGAAAGCAATGCTAATTCCCCCCCGCCCCCTTTAAACTGAGAAATGGCATCTGTGCAGTTTAGCAAAGTTGTGGCCTTTTTTTGAATCTTTTGTTCAGGTGTCCGACTGTATTTTAGTACTTCACAATTTAAGCATCCAACAGCTCGTCCCTCCACCTTAACCTTGGTTCATGTTCGTTTGCCGCCTGGATTTTCAGCTTCTTCAAACGTGGAGAAGCCCGCAAAGGTTCACAGAGCTCTTTATAGTAAAGGTGAGCAGTGGAACATGGCTCAGGTGAAATTGTTGGTTTGGTTTTTTTGTGTGTATGTGACAGTCGCTGTCACACTGTTTGTACGTTGGGAGTTTGAAGGAGTGGAAATTAATGAGAACGAAGCATGCCTTCTGTGTGTTAATGGGAGAGTTTTTGGAAGTGGAAGGTTGTCATATTTTTCAGAATATAATTATTCTTCAAGGTGCAGTGTCTGAGCAGAGAACTCTGTGTGTTGATCAACCTTTATTTCTAATCTCACTATAAGATTTAATGTGTTCAAATTCGCCTACATGTCTCTAGCTATATATGATTAGTTCATGAAAGCAGGGGTAGAACAGGCTTCTTACCTATGTAGTGCCTCTCATGCTGAGTTTAGCGTTGGCTGACTTTATTTTTTAACTCATTTAGCTACTGATACCATATAAGGTAAACAGCTGTCAGATATTTCCAGCTTTATGTCACTTCTCATTGTAGGCTGAATTTCTGAAAGTGCTGCAGAAATGTGGGGGAGAAATGTCTCTGTGTTGCTGACCCCTTTAGTCATACCAATTTTTATCATTGAAGTAATTTCCAGATGGTTTTTCATCCATGATCTGCTTAAACATCTCATTTTTGAGGCATGTTCTACCTATTTTAGACTCATTTTTGTTTGTACCTTTTAAAGTAGATGACCTTCTGAAGTGACCTTCTGAAGAACCCTTTGACGTAGAAACTCAGGAGATACTATTTGCTGTTCAAATTGTATGATTATGACTTAAAGATTGTTTTTTACTAAATAAAGAATGAATTTGCATCTAATGCATGATTATTGCTTCTAATACAAACTTAATATCACTGTTCTTGCTAGGAGTCCTGCTGATGGCAGCTTCAGAAAATGAGGATAATGACATCCTGTGGTGTATCAATCATGACTCTTTTCCTTTTCAAAAGCCAATGATGGAAACACAGGTACTAAAGCAAACACTTGTACAATTTTGATGGAATCTAGATACTATTTTTCCCTTTCTGATCACAATTCTTGCAGGTATTATTATTCAAGTATCTATTTAGTTCACAGTACACTTCCATGAGGAGTTTGGAAATGCTTACAAAGCTACTAATCAACATGCTTCAAAGAAATTAGTAGACAATTTTGTCAGTGAATGGCAACTGATCTCTTTGCAGGAATTTCTAGTTCAGCCATGCTTTCTAGCCTGATGCAAGCTATGTATCAAAAGCAATTGCTTTGACTTCTAAGACTTGACTTAAGATTAACATATTTGAAAATATTGTTGTCTATAGCATGCTGCATATTGTACACAAGCATTGGAAGATGGTCCACAGGCCATAGTGGTGTTTGCCAAATTTTATTGTTATCAACAAAGATTGTTTAAAATGTAGGTACTAGAGACTTTGAGTTTCTTTTTTTAAACTGATATGCCACATCTTCATTAAATTTCAGACATGATTAATCTCTTCATCATTTCACTATTTTTTTCTGATTTTCTTTCTCCTAATTGTTTCATAAGTGGGTTAGTAGGAGGGGTTTGGAGGGGGTTAGTTGCCATATGTGTCAGTGCAAGGAGAACGTTTCATGTATTCCAGTTCTGAAGGAAGTCTGAAGTCTTTTGCTGAAGTAGAGGAGTGAAATGTCAAAAATAGTATTATTGGAGGAGCGCTGGTAGAATTGAAGTGAATGGAGACACTGTATAAGTTAAAAGTTTCAAAGTCAGGGTTTGATTTATCTGCTGGTTTAATAAATTACAAAGGAGCTTTATAATTACTCCAGATCCCTTTGCTGCAAAAACTTAAACATAAGTATCTGAAGCACTGACCTCTCACTTCTTTTTCCAAGGCATTTGACAGTAACAGGCAGCTAAGTTTCTCAAACAAAACTGCAGCCTGCTCTTGATCAGCACTTCTTCCTTGTTGGCATACATAGTTTTCTGGAATGTCTTCACTACCATATGTCTCTTTCTGAGTTATATTTGAAGTACTGCTGCTAACTGTGACAGTCTTGTAAACCTTCATGATTCAGTTGCAGCGTTTTTTGATTCTCTAAGAAATAATTAAAATTGATGATACCTTTTGTACTTGGTTCTGACATAGTTAGCAGATTGTTGCTGTTTATATTGTAGCAGCATTAAAGGATCCCACTTTGCAAGTTGTTTTACATTTAAATGCAAAACACTATCCCTGTCCCCCAAAAGAAGCAATATATTAGTCCCTGTCTCCCAAAAACAGCAGTGTGTGTGTGTGTGTATATATATATAGCTGCAAATTTGGTGGTAACCTTCTGTTAGACAATACAAGAACCTGCTTATTTACTTTATTTTCTTGTGTCAAAAGTAGATTATATTCTGTAATTTTAAATGGTAAGTAGTAAAATATCACCATGGATGTTCAAAATCATGTCTGTTACCAAACTTTGGATAATATCTATCTGTTGTTCAGATGACCACTCGTGTTGATGGACATTCCTGGGCTCTTTCTGCTATCGATGAATATAAAGTTCAGAAGATAGTAACACCACTAAATAAAGACATTATTCCAATAACTGATTCGCCTGTTGTTGTGCAGCAACACATGCTGCCACCTAAGAAGTTTGTTCTGCTTTCAGCCCAGGTGAGTATTACTTTTCTTAATATAGGAAATTAGAAGAGTAAGTATAAAGTAGGAAGACTGATCTGAACCTGTAAATGTTTATTCATTTTGGGTATGTTTTAAAGATTGTATTCTGAACATAAAAAGGAATAAGGAAGAAGCTTGCTGAATCCATCTATACCTATTTTAAATTTACCCAAAGCTATTGGGTCAGCTTCTCTTATACAGTGCATTAATAGTTTTTGTTGGTCTCCAGAGACCCTTGTAGATACAGATCATCTGAGAAGTTCTTTTAACCTTGGTTATACTCATGGTTATATGAAATTGAAACAGACACTGGCTGCCCAGAAAATAGAGTTTGACTAAATACTGTTAGCAATTGGAGTTTGAATAAATAATTTCTTCTTTGTCATAGAAGAAGTCCCAAAAGTGTTTTTGAAACGGTTTTAAAAAACAAAATCCACAAAAAAGAAAAAAATAACTTTTTTACTACTTTTTCTAATTACATTTAGCGATATTTTAGGGCACTTATTGTCTTAACCAATAGGCAATTAAAAAAAAAATTAATCAGTAATGTCTTGCAACTTGTAGATTCAACCTGCGTTTGTTTAATGGCAGCTGTTTTGCTAAAGGCACTCATCAGACCATCTCCAGTAGTTAGTACGGATACAGGCAAGATGATTGAGTGTAGTCTTACTATGCCCTTGATCCTGAATTCTTCAAGCATTTTTTTTCCCAGGCAGTTTTGAGGATTCACAAGATACATAATGCCTTTCTTTTCTGTATATACTTGGTATATGTTTGTTTTGTATGCTTCATGTTAGACTAAGAGCAAAACTGTCTCAGTTTATGGAGAGTTTGTAGCCATTGTAGTATTTTTCGTGCCTTTCATAGACTTGCTAGAGAATTTTTTGCATGTGAATGGGAACTGGGCTTTAGGCACCATTCATGTTATACTTTGAATCAGTTGTGCAACGAAGGAAAATTCAGAATGCTAAAGATAAGCATTGTGTGGAGGGGATGTTGGGATGGCCAGAATAAAGACAACTTTATTCTAACTTACTTTGGGTTACTTTTAGGGGAGCTTTATGTTTCATAAACTCAGACCTGTCGATCAGCTGCGGCATCTGCTTGTTAGCAATATAGGTGGAGATGGAGAAGAGATTGAAAGATTTTTCAAGTTGCATCAGGTAAGAACTTTTGACCTCTTATGAAAAATTGAAGTTGTATAATATTTATGTAAATCTAATCACTTTCTTTAGCATCTTTTTATTGTGCTATAAACTTCTAATTAACATTTCATTTATCAATTAAAGTATTAGCTTTTCCTCTTGTATCGCCCACATAAAGCAAGACTGTATAATGACAAAAAACTTCTCGTGTTATGGTCTCTAAAAATGGAAGTGTAATTTGCTTTCCCTGAAATTCTTAAATATCTTCTATAATACAGTTCTTGGTTCTCTTAGCTCTCATCTAAGAGCAAGGGAGGAAGAGTTTCTGAAACAGTTAAATTCCTACCACTATAAGAGGTTTTTACATTTTGAAGGCTAGTAGAAATGTGTATAATTGGTCTATTTTTTTGTTTAATGTAAGTAACAAAAAAGCAGGAAGGAAGATAGTGGATTACAATTTTAATTTGACTAGTACTGATTAGTGTCTGTAGTAAATGTTCACTGTAGTCTATTTTCTTGGGCTTTGATAGGACATTGTCATAGTTTAACCCCACCCGGTAAGTAAGCACCACTGAAAAGTCATTGACTTTGAGTAGACATTACAACTACCCAGCAACGACTAAAAACATCAGTGTGTTATCAACAGTATTGTCATACTAAATCGAAAACACAGCAATATACCTGCTACTAGAAAGAAAATTAACTCTATCCCAACTGAAACCAGGACAGACATAGTAAGTGATATTTTAACATGCCATTAGAATATGCAAACCGTTATCTGTATAGATTTTTTTTTCTTCAAACACAATCTTAATTTATGTTTCTGTAGAAATTGTATGAGTCTTTTAGTCATAATTAGGTGACAGACATGGAGATTGATTGTTTCTTACCAGTAATCATACTGAGTTTGCAAAAACTGTGTATAATAAAAACTTAGCTGCTACAGTGGGATGCCTCACTATGATTCACTTCTTGTCTATAATTGGGAAGGGCTGATATCCTTGCCTTCTAAATAAAATGATGCTGTATTTACTGTTTAGTTATTGAGCAATATAACTTCTCTATGTTTCTAATCAACTTGATAGAAACTGCCATGCTAATAGTATGATATGCTCTAGGAGGATCAGGCCTGTGCCACTTGCCTTATCTTGGCCTGTTCTAATGCTGCATGTGATCGAGAAGTATCTGCCTGGGCTACTCGAGCGTTCTTCAGGTAAGTTTCAGTACTGTAGGTTCTTCTGAATATTATGCTCAGGATCACTACAGCAACTAAATAATTCTTCGGGCTCTTTAACCTGCTGCCTGTGCGAGCATTCTGTTAAAATGAGCATAGACTTAGACTTGGTGGAATATGCTTTTGCCCTAATTTAGGGCTCATCAACAAAGGAAGCTTCCTGTAATGGTGATTTCTGGTTAATTCCCCTCTTAGATGCTTGTATTCCACATGAAGAGGAGGCTACAGAAAATGTAGTTTAATCTGCTTGAAATGCATTTATCTATACTTCACAGTATCCCAGTTCATTGAAGTGCAGTGTGTAGTAATGTGAGACCAACTGAAACAGCTGGAAAAAGAACAGATGCCGTTTTTAATTTTTGTGGGGTTTTTTGTTTTGTTTTGTGGTTGTTTGGTTGGGTTTTCTGGGGGGTTTTGTTTTGTGGGGGTTTTTTGTTTGGATTTTTGTACTTAATATAATTATTTATGCAGGTCACCATTGCACCAAGGAAATGTGTATTCGATGGACTTACGCTATTCGGCCCGATGGCTTTTGGTCATAGATGTTGATTTTTTTTTTTGATTTTTTTTTTTTTCTTCTTGGTTGGTTGGTTGGTTGTTTTTTTGCCACTACAAGTTGAGTGGGGAAGTATGGGCTTGCCCTCTGGAGGATTTGTCATATGTGTATCTTAAGTACTGCAGTATCCTGGTATGGTGCAGATACGTGTATTTTAAGTAATTGCCTTACACAAGTTGGCGTATTGTGATTCTCTTGGCTGTCCTCACAGGGCATGTAGGCTGGAGGGGAAAAAAGGGGTTTGGTAAGATACAGCTGTTGAGAGCAATGATAAAATGTGCAGCTTTGACTGTATGTTTGCACTAGAGTGCGAGTGTTATGTTCCTAAAAGCTTGCTTGTTATTTTCCAAAACTTGTGCAGGTGTTAGATCAAGTCAGCTATCCTCAGCAGGCTGTGAAGAGTTGCTCTTTGTTAAAATCAATTACATTACAAGATCTGAGAGAAAATGTGGATGATAACTCTGGAGAGATGGGTGTTAGCAAGGAAAGACGTAACAAAGTGCTTACGTAGCACTATAGGAAAGAGGTGGATAGAAATTACTTGTGGACAATAGAAGGATAAGCATGGGTCATCTCAACTATGTCCTTTCCACTCTCCTGTAGAGGCAAACCTTGAAAAGACACTAAAGCATAAGCCTGATTTTGAGAATTGGTAAATTTCTCCTTAAAGCCAGATCATATCAGATCACCACAGAACTTAAAACATCCACATCAAAAAAATACTTAATTGTTCATATAACTTACCTTTGCAATTGCATATGTTAATGCTTTTCATGTAACATGTACTCAGTTAGTTTTCTTCTGCCAAAAGTATCACACAGTTACAAATATTTCTGAAAAGTTACGCTGCTTTTTTTATTCCCCATTTTAAAAGAACCCCAAAATTCCTGTTAGTTCTCAGAAACACAAAATTAAATGGACTGGGTATGAAGTGTGAGGAATTTTCACCTTTGCATGTAAACTTCAGGTATGGCGGAGAAGCACAAATGAGATTTCCATCAGCTCTGCCTCCTCCAAGCAATGTTGGACCTATTCTGGGTTCTCCTGTTCCTTCAGGTAAGTAGGAAGCATTTCATGGCTTTGGACAGGTTTTTTTTTTCCTTAAATATGTTGTATTTTCTTTTCTCACGAGTACCTGTGTTCTTTTTTCTGAAATAGTCTTTGATTTACCCTTCATTTGTTAATTAATTACAGAGATTTTTCCATTTCTCTTGAGTGATTTTTTTGATATAGTGAGATGGTGAAGGAATCTCAAACTATGTCTGGATGTTGCATATAATCTGTTAAGATTATGTGAAGAATGTATACAGTTGCTGCTGCCAGAGGCACATGAGCAGCCAGAGAACAATTTATCAATACTATAGTTCAAACTTTAGAAAGCTTAGTTGGTTGTTGTGTGGCTAAAGCAGAGTACCTTCTTATAGTGTCATTGTCATACCACTGCAGGTATTGCTTATGAGAAGAAAACAAAAATTTTGATCAAGAAATGGGTTTGTCATTTGCAGTGATTTCTCACTGTAAAAGCTGTAGCTTCAACATTTGGTTTCTGCTTAGGTCATCAGTGCCACCTGCAGATGAGAACAGTGCCTATTCTTTCTCCTCAGAACTTTGACACTTATTGGAGTGGAGGCCTTTCTGTATTACTCAGATTCAATTAAATTTCTACAGTTTCTTCAGGAAGTTGTCCTTTAACATGTATTACTCAATTCCAGCTCTTAAGGGTTTTTTAAAAAGGAATTAATAGTGATGAATTTGGAACTCTGATTGAATTACTGAATTAAATTATTATTTATGTTAGGGGTTTTTTTCTGTCAGGAACTCATTAATTTCCAAAGTCCTTTACCCTTATCTGAGATGTGGCATTCAATTTTACACACCAGACTTGGGAAAATAACTTGATTGCCTGGAATGGAAAGAAATTCTATTTCAGTACTATTTTTGACATATATTAAAATTCATAAGTATTGGAGAAAGGTATGCAGAACTGGGGTGAAGTTTTGGAAAAACAGTTTACCCTCTTTTTCAGAATTCTTAACTATTAATAAAACACTAAGAAGAGTGGCTATTTTTAATGCACCAATGACATCACTTTCCAAGCCTGATGGTGTGGAACAATAGCAATGTGGGCTGGAGCTGAGGCAAGGCATAAGAATGTAAAATTAAGTATGAGTTAGAAAGGACAGCAGCTGTGGGGACAACAGGTGTTAGGAGCAGACTGGGAATGAAAGTAAGGTGTGGGGGAAATGACAGGAAGTTCTGTAGTGAATAAGGTGACTCCTTTTAGAAGTAAATGTATTTTTTCCAAGTCTAAATGTTTGGTTATTTTTATCATTTGCTGTCAGATATATGCCTCTTTGAAATCTAGTATGAAAGCACATGTTTCCATTTTGCTTCAGTAACAGGTCCAGGTGGAAGATGGCACCATTCTTCTGCTACTACTTACTCAGTTTGCTCAAAGGGTAGAGAACTGTCATATGAATTTAATATTATGATATTGTGGATGTCCCATGTGGTGGGTTAGACAGTGCTGACAGAAATTGATTAAAACACCTTGAAATTTTGCCTGTGAAACTATATTACAGTAATGTTAGCATTAAAAGACCAGGCACCTTTGACTTAGTTCCCTCTTTTTCTCACTGTTGAAAGTCTAGTCATGCGCTCACATGCTGCTTTTCTGCAAGTTTGTGCTTTGCTTGGCACACAGGAGAATGTGCTCTGAGAATGCATTGGCACTATTTAGTGAAGGACTTTGTTATCCTTTGTGCTGCTGTGTGTTGCCAACTTGAGAGAACTGTAGTGAATAAGGCAAGAAGGCCTGATTCTTTGATAAAAGCCAAATGTTCAGACTTCCAGTTTTCTTGTCCTTTCTGTGATTATATCATCCTACGTGCTGATGGTATGTGGACATTTTTGTAGATGACCACATATCTCTCTTATTTTGGGGTCTTAAGTTAGGTATTCAGACTCCGTTTGCAGAAGGGTTGAGTATTCACAGCTGAATCTGTGGCCATGGACAGTCTCCAACTGAATGTTCCAAGTTAAGTGTTGCTGTAGTGTCTGTCCAGCTGCCCTATGTAAAAATTAAGAGTAATAATACCAGTTTCTTTCAGTTGAGAGCTCTGAAGGTAAAATTTATATTCTTTGAAAAGATCTAAATGACTGAAAGTGAGTGCTTTGAGAATAGGTGCCTGTATCAGGAATGGGAGCAGTCAAAAGGTGAAGAACAAGAAAAAGTATGTAGACGCTATTATATTCAATGCAGGGAACAGATGGTATGTAATAAATAACACATGAATGCTGGGTAAAAAATACTTAATAACCACTCTTGAAAGAAGGGTATCCATTTTGGTTCACTTATGGAGTGTTGGGTTGATAAGAAATGAGTGCAATTTAGTATTTAACTATAAATAAAAAGTCTTGGAATGGTTCTAACTTTAAAGTACTTGATTTAACAACTTTGGTGCTTTTGCACAAGGATTTTCTGAGTTATATTTTGGGTTGTTAAAAACAAATAAAAAACCCCCAACTTACCTGTATTTCTTTTCCCTTTTAGTTACCCCCTTGACTGTTGATAGTCCATATCCTAATCTTAGCTTTTTGACAACACCTGGGCAAGGTAAAGCCTTCTTTTCCCTTGCTGGAGAAATGGAGAATTTTTTTGTTTTTCAACTAGGCTTTTTTATTTGCATTCAAATTAGTAATATTTACCTACCTTTATCTTAGGTTTACAACCTCTTAGTATGTCAACTCCCGTATTTCCTTCTGGGAATTCCATGTCTCATCCTGGTACATCCATTAGTGGAATGATGGGTCCTGAGATAGTATTTTCTGGAAGACACAATGGCATCTGCATATACTTTGCTCGAATTATAGGGTGAGTTGTTTGTGTAAAAAAAGATTCTCTCATTCGTTTTGTTTCATAATTTTTCTTTTCCCCTAATGCTTGTAGGGGTGAATTCTATCTTAATAGCATTTAGATTTGAAATTTGTAAAGTGTCTTTTCATGTTGTGTTTATGAAGTACCTGTTGATACAATATGATCTCTGTACAGCTCTGTTAATAATAATACATACAATTAATAGATAGGACAAGAAAGTAGCTTAGACGTTGATCCTGCAATCAAGTGTATATGCACAACTCTGAAAACTGTCATATTTTTCAAATCTGTGAGCTGTATGTTTCAAACTCCTACTAAAGGATGAAACAGAAGTGCAGAAGGACTTACAGGATCAAAGTCCTGGCTTAAAGTCTTTTCTGTTAAGAAGCTGTAAACAGAATGCTTAAATCAGAGCAGTGAAGCAAGACTAAAGCGGATTCTGTTCCTTGGATGTTGAATCCTGTGTTACTAAACAGCCCAAGCAAGAACAGAATTCTTCATATGTTGGTCATCTCTCTGCATGCTGGTTGGGAAATAAATTTTTGTTACAACACTTGATTGCCTACACTATATTTCCAGAGAATGGTATTGGCCTATATTTAAACTCTTTGACAGCATCTAACCTTGATTAAAGTTTTAAAATGTGAAATTTTGTTAAGTGTCTATATCTGTACCATTCAGAATTGTATAATGGTAACTTTTTGGAATGTTTAATTTTCATCCAAGTAAAAAAAACATTGCCATTTCTTTCTTAAGATAATATACATAGAAGACTTGGAAAAATACTTGCTTAAATTACTTGGCTTTTAACACAGTGCTGTTTTTGTGTTGCAGAAATATTTGGGATGGCAGTATAGTTGTGGAGAGAGTTTTCAAAAGTGGCAATCGAGAAGTTGTTGCAGTATGTAAAAGATTATTTTTTTGAATTTTTAAAAGTTCCTTATAGTATATGTCTTTAAGTCCTGTTAGCCTTCTGTTCCCAGTTATAAACTGGTAAGGAAAAAAAATCGTCATTGTCATTTGAATGTTTTCTTAAGTACTATGCTCTCAAGTGAGGAGTAATTGTAGGTATTAAATCTTTTTAAGCTACTATTTTGAACATTACTTTTTAAGAAACTTAACTGTAATTTAATCTCTGTTTTTAAATGGTAATGGCCACTTTTCTCCATGTTTAGTGATTGCACTTCCTTCATTTCTGCATACTGTCTCTAGACAAAACCCAAAAATAAAATACTTCAGTGGGTTAGGGTAAACATTGCAGTTATGTAAGGACATAAAACATTTCCACCATCTTCCTGACTAACATCTTGGTGTTTCACTTTTCATCCATCATCAAAATGGTGAAATCTTTTCTGAGTGTGGATATTAATACAGTCCTGAACTGAGTAATTTCAGCAATGCACATTAGCTGCTACATGAGCTTTCCTTCTCCAGTTATAAGGTAACTGGAAGACTCTGGAAGATATTGGCAGTGTGTAGTCTGTGTCTTAGCAATGCTCAATCATTGTTTTAGTTCAGAGTTGGAAATAGTAAAGCACAACTGATTTGGTTGTCAGAGGGGCAAATAAAGTAGCACCTTGAATACCATATATCTTCAGAGGACTGCTGCCTCTTCACATGTGTGCCCCCTCTTCAACGACTGTGGTATAATAATGTTGTGTTCTAGTGTAGCATTACTAATATACTAGTTGTTGTACCCTCTTTGCATTTTAGTGGCTTTAGCTTGAAATTGTAAATTTTTGGAAACTAAGCTTCTAAAGAAGTCTGCTTTCTTTTGCAGGTAGAAAGCAGTGTTCCATCCCATGTACTGGAATGTGTACTACAAGAACTAAAAGGTTTACAAGAATTTCTGGATAGAAATTCACAGTTTGCTACAGTAGGAGCCCTTGGAAACCCAAGGTATTATTGTGTTAAACTTACTATTGGTATTTAATGTCCAGCTGTTGAAAAACTCTACCATGCGTATCTGCACTGAGTTGAAGTGCATGTATAGTCTCCAGCTTGAACTATTGGGGTGCTAAAAATGAGTTGTTAGATTTCATCTTTAAAAGATTCCATATTTGTAATCATATTAGTATCTCTTTTTATTTTGGAATTGCAGTTTCAGTACACCAGCCAATCTGCAACAGAGGCTCCTGGGTTTCATGCGGCCCGATGGTGGAAGTTCTCAGCAAGTCCAGCAAGAACTCCAGAGAAAATATCATGGTATGTAATTACTTTTGAACAGGAAGTATCAGGTAATGGTGCATTTGGATGTTGTCTTTGTAGTGGTTTAACCTTGGCTGGACACCAGGTGTTCACCAAGCTGCTCTATCACTCCCCTCCTCAGCAGGACAGGGAGGGGAGAAAAATAAGATGGGAAAAAAACAACCCCAAACTTGTGGGTCAAGATAAAGGCAGTTTAATACAGCAAAAGCAAAAGATTATTCTCTACTTCCTCTCAGCAGGCAATGTCCAGCTGCTTCCCGGGAAGCAGGGCTTCAGTACACATAGCAATTGCTCCCGGAAGATAAACGTTGTAAAAAAACTGAATGCTCCCACTTCCTCCCCCTATCTCTCAGCTTCTTATTGCTGAGCAGATGTCACATAGTATGGAATATCCCTTTAGTCAGTTTGGGTCAGCTGTCCTGGCTTTGTCCCCTCCCAAGATCTTGCCTATCCCCAGCCTACTGCTGAGGGTGGGGAGAAATGTTGGAGAGACAGCCTTGATGTGTTCCAGCGCTGTTCAGTGGTAGACAAAACACTGGTGTGTTATCAACACCTTGCTAGTTACCAGTACACAGCACAGCACGATGAGGGCTGCTATGAGGAAAATTAACTCCACCTCAGCCAGACCCAATACAGCCTTTCTCACTTTCATTGTTAAAATCTCTGTATAAAAGTGCCTTTTTTTCCATACTAATTTGACATTAATCAATATGCCATACTCAGTAATTAAGTTCTTCAGAAAAGTACTGTAGTTTGGAAACTAACTTTGCTAGCACCTTGCTTTTGCTTCCGTACCATATCACACTCTTCCATCAGGAGCAGCGCTTTTGCAGTACCATTGATGTGAAAAATCATTTACATATCAGTGTACTAGAGATGAAGTATATACCCCAAATGGAAACTCAAATCTAGATAGAGAAATATTCCAGCCGTTAGGTTGGCTGTGGCAAGAGAGTTCGTTTGTTACACGCTGCAGATGTTATCTTTCAGTTTGATATTGAAAGTTTTAATAATTGCAACTAATAAAAGCAGTCCGCAGATGAGAACATCTCTGTGCAGAGAGTCTGGGTTTCAGCACAGTAACCTCTAGTCCTCTTGAGCCACTGGAAAACACAAGTTGTGTCTCAATTTATTAAGCTAAAATAAAAGTGCTTGAACTTTAAAGCCCTTTGAGACTTTTTTCTCTCAAAGAATTAACTTTCAATTCTGAGTAGACGCATGTCCTCTTTATCATATTTTTCCAATTCAGACGATCTTGAAATACAAAACTAGAGGTTTCTTTGCACACTTACCTGTCTCCCTTTTTTTATTCCTACTGTTCTCCATATTTCATAAGATTGTTTCCTCTCCTCATTACAATACTTTAGTAGCTGCATACCCATTTATATTTTCAGGATAGCAATTGTTAAGCAGTTAGTTTGTGAGACAAGTGAGTATGCTGTCCTATTAAAAAGAAGTACTGTAATGCAAGTTGCCAGAGTTAGTCCCTGAAATGTCTACAAAGCTTTGTTTAGAAATAAGAGACCTGTCTCACAGCCCATTTGAACTCATGTCCTCCTGTAGTGTAGCTCTTGCCCAGCACTTGCAGGCAAGTTGGGAAGTGTTGCTGATGTGTATATAGATTTGAAGATGGTTATGGTCCATATGGGTATAATTCTGGGTTTTAATTTCTACTTCTTTTTCTGTACTGCTCGCTTTCAATAATGTGAATGTAATTTTTTAGAAAAAGTTATTGTGTAGAATGTAGTAGACATTTTTAATTTTCTTTTTTATGCATTCCAAAACTGCTAAACCCTTTTGAATTGCTAAATGACACAGTGTAGTTATTGCTGCCTTATTTCTGAACTGAAAGCACTCAAAAGTAAGACATAAATTGGTGGATTATGTTCCACCCATGTAATAAGTATGTCCATATTATTCATTCAGTGAGTATAATACATCTTACCAGATTTAAACGTTACTAGTTTTCAAAGTAGTTGTTGTTCCTTTGAAGGTAGTGTAGGCGACATTGACCAAAGTTGTAATTGTCCTTTCTAAAAGCAAAATACAGATAATCAAACAGGGAATATGTATGGTTTTATTTTTATTTCTTTTATGTTCATCATAAATACATTTATAATAACCATTCATAAAAAAACAAGCAAAAATTCAAGACTGATATGTAAATCTAGTGCACTCACACAAAGCCATACTTCTTTTTCAAAAAGTACTCCTACTGTGTTGCATAGTTTGAAATAAATGTTAACAGATGATACTTATTTTGGGGAAATGTTAACACAGCACTTTGCTCCAAAGAGAGCTAGACAGTCTTTATCAAGAATGGAAGAGAAAAAAAAAAACCTAGACATTTAAGGAAATTATTATTGTAAACCCTCAAAATTTACATGCTAATTTGAAACATGTAGAACAGTTACTTAATGACATCTCTTTGCTTTTTCAGCTGAGGCACAGCTAACTGAGAAGACCTCACTTCAAGGCATCCAGCAGCTTGTTTGCAAAACCTGCCAGGCACTGGCTTTATGGAAGTTGCTGTGTGAGCACCAATTCAGTGTTGTCGTTGGTGAGCTTCAGAAGGTACAGTCTGAATCATGTGATTTTAATTTGTTTTTATTTAACGATTTCTGAATTTCTGAATTTCTTTTGCTACCTAAATGCTTCTGGAGGAGTATTGCTTTTAATCCATTGAGAAACATATGAATTTTAAATCACATGGATTTTTATTCAGGTTGCAGGTGTTTATTTTAAGAGACTGACATGTAGTATTGACCTCATCGCCCAATTTTAGCAAATTGGAATTGTCACTAACAATAGATTTTATTTTACTTTTATTGACAGTAAATGATGAGTCAGTCTGGTTTTATAAATTACTGCATTTTCACCATAAGCACATTCTGCAAAATGTGCTGAAAAGAATAGAGGAATGTTGTCCAGTCAAGAGGAATTCATTCTTTGCCTTAGTGTTGGTAAAAGTTTAACAGTGGAGAGCAATAGGGTTGTAGAGTCTCCAACAATTGCAAATTTGTGTAATTAGGGGCCTGGAATGTATCACAGAACAGCTGAGGTTGGAGGGGACCTCTGGAGATTATCTACCCCCTGTGCTCAAAGCAGGGTCAGCTAGAGCAGGTTGCCCAGGACCACATCCAGTAAAGTTCTTAATATTTCCAAAGACAGAGATTCCACAACCTCTCTGGGCAACCCATTTCAGTGTTCAACCACCTTTAGAGTAAAAAAAAGTTTTTTATTATGTTCAGGTGTAACTTCATTTGCTTCAGCCTTTGGGCATTGCATTGTGTCTTGTCACTGGTGACCACTGAGAAAAGTCTGGCTCTGCCTTCTTTACACCTTCACGTAAATATTAGTAAGATCTCACACACTGCCCGCTGAGCTGTCTTTTCTCCAGGCTAAACAATCCCAGTTCTTTCAGCCTCTCTCCTTGTTGGTAAAGAAGGAAACTTAGAGAACTACAGGTGGTACTGCTGTGTACCCTTTGCTGATGTTGAGTTTGCATCCAGTCCTTGAATAAGCTATTAATTTGAATACGATGCATTCTGTCCTATCACTTGATAGGAGAACAGATTATTTGAAAAGCTGTATTCTTTGTGTATAAAAAGAATAATTTTTAAACTTTACAAATGCACAGAAACTGCAGCTCTTCACACTGCTGCTTTGGGGAGTTAGCAGGATTTCTAACAGGCAGCTTTTCTCTTGTGTTGAACAAGAAGTTAACTAATTGTTTAACAAATAGAACCTTTTCCTCTGTCTTCAATGGTTTTAGAATTTTTGTAATAATATTTTCATGCTGTTAGTGATCATCCATAGACACTACTGGCAACTCTATGTGAGCAAATATTCCTAATAATTTTAAAAAATCTTCAATGTAATTTAATATGAAAAAGCATAAAGAGTACAGACCTCAAACTTTTTAAATTCATCCTTTTTATCCATCTGTCTTTTTTTTTTTATCTATGACAGTACTCAGATGGTTCCCATCATTAAAAACTGACATACTCATTTTATAGGATGTGCATTCTGACAGTGCCTTGTGAAGTAAGGGGAACTATTAATTCCATTCTTACTTGCAGAGATCTCAAACAAAAGTGACACATAGAGAAGATGGCAGAGAAGTCTGGCCTTTGGCATCAAGGGGCTAGTTTTTTCATTGACTTTCTTTATTATTTCATTTTTGCTATATAATGTGTATTTTAAATAATGTATTTCTGTGCTGTGCACTTCAGTCATTGGAGTTTTGTACGTTTTTATTTACTGGAAACAGTTAATTTTGCTGCTGTAATATTGTGACATTTCTAAACAGAATAAAGTAAAAACTTCGGTAAACTAATGAAATTCTATCTATCTTCAGGAACTTCAAGAACATCTAAAGATTACTGCTTTCAAAGACTTGGTAATTAGAGACAGAGAGTTGACTGGAGCGCTCATTGCTTCTCTCATAAACTGTTATATCAGAGATAACGCTGCTGTGGATGGCATCATTGCCCATTTGCAAGATATCTGTCCTCTTCTTTATAGCACTGATGATGCTGTGTGTTCCAAGGTAAGCATGTTTCCAGATTTTACAGCACCAAAACACAACTTTAGAACATGTTCAAATGAGAAGTTGCGCAGCTTGTAAATCATGCTCAGGTAGTTTCAGGAGCACAAGAACTAATGAAGCCAGGTTGTGTACATATTTGTGTCTTGTACTTGATTAATGCTGAAAATTACACGAGCTCTGGTTTCAAGCATTTGCAGTTATTGGTAGTGTTCATAGGGGCTCTATCTACAATGTGATGTCTGATAAATATGTCTTCTTGATGTTGATAAAATGTGTTCTTACTCCAGTTTTTCCTTAGCATAGTCTTTTGTTTTCTGTCTGTTGCCTGGTTTTATGGAATTATTGGAAGGATAATTGTAATTAAGAACTTCACTCTTTGAAGCTCATCAGATAAATTTGAAAAAAGTACCTGGTGAGAGGAGAATGAGAAAACCGTTGTTTAAGGCTTAAGCCCACCTCTCTACTGCCAATTTACAGCCTTTCTACTGGAAACTTAGCATTATCAAGTGATGAGAGAGTGCTTTTGAGAGGATGATGTTTCTACTGTTCCAGCTATGAATTTTGGACTAATTACTCATTAACTTAGAACAAATCCATGATCCATCCTGTGTTTGTGTGAATAATTTCTATTTTCCCATCACTTGTCTTTAGGCAAATGAACTGCTTCAGCGGTCTCGGCAGGCCCAAAGCAAACTGGAAAAAGAGAAGATGCTGAGAGAGTCACTGAAAGAGTACCAGAAGATCAGCAATCAAGTAGACCTTGCTAATGTTTGTGCACAGTATAGGCAAGGTAAGAGGCAATCACTGGTTATGTTCTGTTAAATAGTTTCCATAGTATCATTTTGTGCCGTATTCTTTTTTGTTTGTTTTGTTTACTGACTTCCAACTCACTTTATAGTGTTTTACCATAAACGGTTTCTTAATAACTCTCACAATTAATATACGTCAATCTGTTCTTGTGTAAAGCCTTTCTAGATTTCACCGACCAATCAAAAAACCCACTTCTATATAAAAATATTCCCATCCTCCACTTATTTCACATTGCAGTCTCCATTTGATTCACATATGCGTTAAAAATGTTCTTACGAAAATTATATGTAAGCAGACAGTAAATGACTGTACTTTTGCAGGTAAGGTTTTATACCACATATTCTGTCTGAAAGATGGTTCTGAATCCTGTTTTGTGCAGTAGAAGCTAGTACATAATTTAAATATAGATAGAACTGTTGTAACAGTCAAGATTTCAGCCTCTGTACAAACATACAACTTCAAAACTTACATGTAATCCCACAGGTTAGGTAGAGACATAAACATTTATATGATACAAACCAGAGTTTTTTCTTGATTGCTAAAATGGCAAGTGTTTGATGTCACTTCCCATTTTGTCATAGATTTAATACAACAATGAATGATGGTATTTGTTGTTTTTTTCCCAGTGCGTTTCTATGAGGGAGTAGTAGAACTCTCTCTTACAGCTGCTGAGAAGAAAGATCCCCAAGGTCTTGGCCTTCATTTCTATAAAAATGGAGAACCAGAAGAGGATGTTGTTGGACTCCAAGCTTTTCAAGAGAGGCAAGTTTTCAGGACACCTTATTACCATTATATTCAAGTGCCTGGAAAAGTAACTTTTTGGGGAAGATGTGCAGGGTAATGACAAACAAGCGTTTTATAATAAGGGACACAATGTAGATGTGTTTGCCCAGCATCTTCTCTTTTGATTATCATTAATATGGCATCAGGTTAATCTGGAACAGAGAGTAAACTGATAGATGCAGATTGTGATCTGAACATTACAGAAATACTTGTTAGAAAGATGATTGAGAACAAACTAGATTGTGGCAATTAGCTGACCATAACCTGTGACCTTTTTAAAATTTTAGTAATTGTGTTTACAAAGTCATACAACAACAACATTTGAGAAGAGCAGTCCATAGATAGTTGCAATGAAAATTGTGAGCCTTTTATTTCCTTTTGCTCTATTAACAGATTGAACAGCTACAAGTGTATCACTGACACCCTTCAAGAGTTAGTGAATCAAAGTAAAGCTGCTCCTCAGTCTCCCAGTGTACCCAAAAAGCCAGGTCCTCCGGTGCTGTCGTCTGACCCCAACATGCTAAGCAATGAAGAAGCAGGGCACCATGTAAGAAACTCACAAAAAAATCATGACTGCGCTCCAGAAAATAGTGTGATTTGAATGGGTGTAGAATTTCTTATTTTTAAAAAAACTATGGAATAGTTTAGCGAAGTAGATAAAAGTCAAGATTTGTCATGATTTATCTTGTGTGCAGAGTGTTCATAGAAATGATGACGTGCAAATAATGTAAACCTAAGTATTGCTGCATACATATTCAGTGCTTGATGTAATGTAACCACTTCTGGAATCACAGCATTTTGCGTTTTCTTCCCTTAGTTTGAACAAATGCTAAAACTAGCTCAGCGTTCAACAGATGAACTCTTCAGTATTGCACTTTACAACTGGTTGATACAAGTTGACTTGGCAGACAAACTGTTACAGGTGAGCTCATCTCTATACAATGAAATAATTTGTGGGAGGGTTTCACTGAACTGGAAGAGTTAATTGTAATAATGCTGATGCTTTAAAAAAGAGGAGAGAGCAAGAATATGAATGTTATCTTTATGACTTTTATAGGTTACTGCCCCCTTTTTGGAACCCTACCTTGTGCGGATGACCAAGATTGACCAAAACAAAGTCCGTTATATGGATTTACTGTGGAGATACTTTGAAAAGAACAGAAATTTTAGTAATGCAGCCAGAGTCTTGGCTAAGTTGGCTGACCTGCATAGGTATGGATTATGTGTGATCTATTGCATATACTGTGGTAATTGAGGGGAAAAAACCAAACAAATTAAAATCAAAACCTTATGTGTAGGTATTTTAAGAAAAGGCCAATGCCCAAGGATATTTGCTAAAAAAAAAAATAAATGGAATATATTAGCTTTTAGTCCAGGCCATTATTGAAAAGAAATTATATGGGTTTTTTAATGCATTATACATTAGCTTGCCACGTATTTCCTGTTGTAAGTACTGTACGTTAAGTGGTCATTTCTTACACAGAATTTTATAATGAGATAGTGTAACTGTGGAGCAGTGGATTGAGTACAGTAGAACTGACACCCCAACAAAGATGGGGTTACCTGGTTGGATAATGTCCTGCATGATTTAGTAAAATCAGGAGAAGTCATACAAATTCCCTGACTAATTAGAATATAACTAACCCTCAGATAATTATATTAAGTACCCATTTTATTTTGATTCTTTGTTTTATAGCACAGAAATTTCTCTTCAGCAGCGTCTTGAATACATTGCACGTGCCATTTTGAGTGCCAAAAGTTCCACTGCCATATCCTCTATAGCTGCAGATGGTGAATTCCTACATGAACTAGAAGAAAAAATGGAAGTAAGAAAAAATATTAGTCCAAGCTACACTGTAAATGCTTTATTTCACTTTGTCTCATTTGCACATGACATTTTTATTACCAGTTCTC